TCAGACGCATTCGTGTTCGTGGTGGCAATGTTAAATGGAGGGCACTAAGATTGGATACAGGAAATTATTCATGGGGTAGCGAAGCTACCACCCGTAAGACTCGTATCCTTGACGTGGTCTATAATGCCTCAAACAATGAACTTGTTCGCACACAGACTCTTGTCAAGAGTGCAATTGTGCAGGTGGATGCAGCACCCTTTAAACAGTGGTACCTCCAGCATTATGGTGTTGACATTGGTAGGAAGAAAAAGGGGGCTGCTGCAAAGAAGGAAACTGCTGAGGTAACCAAATTTTGTTATCTTTACTTCCATACTTGGTCAACATCATTTGATGAATAGTTGTTGATTCCTTGCTATCTGGCTTCCACAGCTCTTTCATTTTACTGTACAATATTAATTCATTATATGCTGCAAATTCTTCATCGCGACTGTTTGACATTTTTGAAGTTTGGACTTGATGTCCGATTATGATCTGAAAATAACTTGCCCAAGATTGACAAAGAATTGATAAAGATAAAAAATGTATGAGTGAATGGAAAAAAAGGTCTTATTGGGGATACTGTTGACCTCTAACAATGCAGCGAAGGTGGTTTTTTTCATAGTTTGATATATCCTCAGTCACATTCTTCTGTATCTAAATAAGTCTATTTTTCCTAATTGACCAATTATCGGCTTATTAACTTTTCTTTGAACTGTTCAACTCCAGCAACTAATGTATTCCACTTTAATAAAAAGTATCCCTTCATTTTTATGTGTCGAGAATCTGAAATGTTCATTATGATGACCAAGTAGTGACTTCTTTCTTCTTTTCTGTATATGTTGATTATTTTGTTTGGTTGACATATGACAGGAGGGAGACGGTGCTGCCACTGAGGAAACTAAGAAGAGCAACCATGTACTCCGAAAAATTGAGAAGCGCCAGGCGGAGCGCAAACTTGATTCTCACCTTGAAGAGCAATTTAGTTCTGGTAGATTATATGCTTGCATCTCATCTCGCCCTGGTCAGTGTGGCAGAGCTGATGGGTAAGTTTTGCATTGACAACCTTGCTTCCCGGCTCTAGACTTGTGATAATGTTTTTTTGCATCTGTTCAAACTCAAGTGATGATACTTTTATCGCAATTGACAGGTATATCTTGGAGGGCAAAGAACTTGAGTTCTATATGAAGAAACTACAGAAGAAGAAGGGCAAGGCTGCAGCTGCTTAATTGGAGCTCTTTGAATTTAGAGGCTAATTTATATGTTTCTTTTTCCTTTTTCCTTGAACAAGTTGGTTTTGTGAGGATATTTTTCTATATTCAGTATTCTTTAATCTTATTATGAGTTGACATTGACGCCTGAACTACGTTTATTGTTGGCATTCATTACTTGTTTCAGCGTATTCTGAATTTTTGGTTGCCATATAAACATATGTTGCTGGTCGTTCTGGCTGAGTTAGTGTTGCTTTTATTTCGATCACCCGTTTGTGTAGGTTTTTTTTGCTATTTTTGTTGAAGTTTTGCGAAAAGTGGTTAGATAGGATATGATACTTTAATTGCCCTACTTTCAGATACTTTCTTTCAACTTTTAAGTGACGAATGGATTTTTATGCCAACTAAACTCAATTACACAGGCAAACAACATATCATCAAGGATCTGAATTGTACGCACCGACTGACTGAAGATGATCGGAGTAGAGTTTGTAGTAGGCCTTGAGTCCTTGAATTCTTTTCTTTTTTGGCATTATAAATTAGTGGAATTGATGATACCCAAATCCACAAGCTTCTGTACAAACTTGTTGCCATACTTGTAAGCAACATAACTTGTTCAACATCAAACGAGGAAACACGACAATGAGTGAGTGCTAACAACCACTTTAGTTGTGACAAAGAGAGCATGATGTTGACATAGACAAAGACATCCTAACAAATGTTCAATCAAATATAAAAGAACATCCCACTACAAATTCACTTCCAACTACACTATCATTGCCTTTTTATACCTAGTTGGGTAAATTAATTGATCCTTAAGTCTTAAATTTTCATCATCAACCCCCCAAAATCTTTTTCAAGTACCTATTCCAATATAGTTTGCTTTTTCTAGATCAATATCAATAACAAACAGTTTATCGATCCCTACTCTGCTCATTCGTAATTACTATAACAAAAAGAGTCGTCTCTATTCCTTCGAGGGAGGTTATTATACAGCACACAACTTTTCTATGTTATGGTCCTTATAGACTGAATCGAGCGTATTAAAGTAAATTTCATAGGATGCAAAATGGTTGTGGGGAGACCAACTATTTGGTGATTTAGTTTGTAATTTTTGACTAGTAACTATTTTATGTCCTACAAAAAGCCATCAAATTTGCGTCAGTGTCTATTCACCTCAATCTGTTTAAACATTCTTTTCTTGATAAAGACTTCACTTCTTTTTCTTCTTTATTTTTTGCTTGTCATTTTCACTTTAATCGTGCCCAATTACCTTTTTATCCTTGTATGAATACCATTATCACAGTTTGGCACATGATTTTGACAATGTAACTAAAAGCACTTTGAAGTATGACTAATAAATTAACTAGGTTATTCACATGTTTTATGTCTCAATTCATTACTTAGTACTTTACAATAACACTATTAGGCAACCATTGATTTTTATGCTGACTTTATAGATCACTAATTCATTTTTTCTAATATAATTATAAGAGTTTTAATGGTCAATTTATTGAAAGAATGGGAACATGGAAATAGACTTTATGTTTCAATTAATATGTTTAAGTTTTACACGACACATAATAAATCAGAATAGATTTATCGCTCAAATTATGATGTGCTGAACTCATGATATTTGTTAAACTTGATATAATTTGCTGGTTATCACACTAAAAAAAGTTGAATATAGTGTATGATTGAATGCTCAAACGATATAGGTTCGATTCCTACTTAAATTTCTTTTGCACCTATAATGATCTAGATCCATTTCTAGTCATAAAAGGATTGTTTGTCCCGGTGGAAGGGATGCTCTCGTTTTAATTGTTACAATACATATAGTATATAAATTTTTTATTCGTTCATTTATCTTTTAGCTATAAATATGTAAAAGTCATATATTTATACAAAAATATAAATTCTCATTTGTAGGCAACATGTTCAAGAATAGCTGTAACCATTTTGGATTTACAAACAAGTCAATTGCCAAATTGATTCATAGTTAGAAACGTGCAAGTAAAAAATTTCTTTTCTAAATCATTTTTAATTACAAACAAGTCAATTGCCAATACTATTCTTTCTATTTTCACTAATCCTTTTTTCTCTTGTAAATAATTACTTTATAGGGTAGCCAATTAAGTTAATTAATCTTTTAGTAATTAATGGTATAGTTTTCAATGGACCCTAACGTCTGAGGCGGATACACAATTTAAATTTAAGAGTTTCACATTTACAGATTTTAATATTAAGCATATTATAATTTATACCTACTATTTGTTACTCATAATTTTAGTAAACGTTTATGTAATTTATATTCGGTATTATAAATACTAAATACAAGTAAATGAAAAAAAATTATTCGCACCAAATATTTTGTATTCCAAATGTACATGGATTTTGACATAATCTAATACATTAACTCACAAATTATAATAACATTGGAGAATTTATTTAATATTAATAAAAATAATTTATTCAGAATACGAAAAAAAAATTATGACTGGAATTTCTTTGGCTGCTTCAGTAAAAAGTTAAATGAGTCGAAATGAAGAAACCACTGATGCACTAAAGTAACTAGAGTAACTTTATTCTTTTTGCTTTTTGATTATCATGAAATAATTTATGAAAGTTTGTATTTTATTTTTATTTTACTTTTTTTAGGGGTCTAATTAAATAAGGGATCACATCATATATTATGAGAGATAAAATATTTTTCATTAGATAGTTTCATATCTAGAGCTTGATCTTGAAGAATATTTATCGCATTAACACGAAGAAAATAAATATTTTAAATTAATAAATTTCAAATCGAAAATAGCCATACGGAAATGGAAAAAAAATACTTATGTTATTTGTCTTTACTTAACCAAAAATAAACATTAGATTTAGAACAAACATCTAAATCCTGTCCAGAAAATCATAGTGAAAATTTTCTTTAAAAATAGTAATCTAAATCTTTAAAAATAATATTATTGGAATTATTTGATATAATTAATAGTGTGAACACAGATCTTCTCATTTTTTTGTGTGGCTGGGGACAAGTTTGTCGGTCTTAATATCTTAATTAGCAAAATATTATTATGTACTAATTTACTATAATTTATTCTAACATTAGAAAACAAAAGAAAAAAAAGATTTTTTTTTTGAAAGAATCTTTCTTATTATAAAAGTTAAGGCTGCAAAGCAGATATATTTTTGTTAAACCCAATTTTTACTAGTATTAACTTTCTTCTATCAAATGATTAAATCTTTAATCTATCTTTTTCTATGGTATCTTTCCACTACTTTATTTAACCTTTTTATTGTTCACTTAATTATTTTTGGATTAGTTGGAAAATTTGAAGTCCTCTGATTCATTAGGTCTAGTCAGAATCTAACCAATTGCCAGCCTGGGATTTAACTTATAATGATATTTTTATCAAAAAAGTTTGTAAGAATAGGCTTATCATTTTTTTTATTTTTAAATTATTGGACTTTTTAGCACTGTAAATCAGAGCAGAAGCTGCTCTATATAGTTAATCTATTGAAAGTTATCCACTAAATACACGATTAATCAAAAAAGGTTCAATATTTATTATATACACATAAAAGATAATTTTAATCATATATAAATAATATATTTCTATCGAAGAAGTTTAGGATGAAACCGCCGGTCACTAATACAGTTGGTTACAACATACTTAACTTAATAATTCGAAATGTTTGAAAATTTTCTGATTTAATCACTGTTTAGTTTGACACCAACCATAAGCAAATCTCTTGGAAGATTTGGGATATATCTTGTCAATTGATATGATTTAACCAAAAGAACACTAATGACCAATTATTTGAATAATTTAAGCTTGTAATAATCTCCATTTATAATTGCTTTACAGAGAAATACTCAAAATATCTTACAGTACATGAGATGATGTTAAACATTATACAGTAAATACTATAATAGCTCAACAAGAGCAAAAATTAGAACTCTCAAATCAATTATAGATTACAATAAGTGGGGAAATAATTCCCTTTATGCTAATCCTAATCATGTTGATTAGCAATTTCTGAAGCAGATTAAACTAAAAATCTCTCTGCTTATATACAGCAGTCTCTTTCTCCAGTGGGGGACCTTAATTTGTGGACAAATCAATGGTGATTACATCTTAATTTTCATTTGAGATTCAGAATTAGGCACTGCATCAGAAAAAAAACAAATATATTAATCACAAATTAAGGTTTTCTCCTCATTATCAGCTAACATTCATTGTATAAGTGTACATATTATAAGGATCGATAGTGGAATACTGCAGTCTGCCTTGTCAAAAGGTCACTCAACTATGAGAAATTGACTGATTAATACTACGTAATTCCTTATAACGACAGAAAGAGCGGACCCCCAATTATCATAACTCCCCACACCCCTCAAAAAAATACTTTGCTTCCCCTTTTCTTACCAGGGAATGTCTGTGACTGCAATATCAGATCTTGGTTAGAGTTCTGATTAAATCCCATCTGGACAATGCTTTGGAGATCATCCTCACAGATTGTGGGAAGCTGGATAATGGACTCTAATCAGAAATCGCCAGTAGCAATATCGAAATTCTAGTACTTTTTATAAACATAACATTGGATGGAAATGAGCTAAAATGGAGCGATATAGTTAGTTAGGATTCATATAACCAACGAGATGTTGAATGCTTTATTACCTGAGCAAGATTTTCAGCATATCCATCTACTGGGAAAACATGTTGGTGCAAAGAACCACTTGGTTGACTTATCTGAAACAAAGGAAAAATAAACCCATGATTTCCATTTGAATGTGACAAGCTAAGGAAGTCATTGATATATATGAAACACTTACTTCTGTGTGAAGGAGACTATCGATGTGAATATCCGTTCTTGGGTTCACTGAAGCCAACTTCATAGACAAGAACTACAATATGTTGCAATAGATATCAATTAGAAGCTACAACAATATCTTCCGCGTAAATCCCACAAGTGGAAGTCTGGAGAGGGTCGAGTGTACACTATATGCTACATCAAAATCTTGAATTACCTCAACTTGGTGTTGGAGTGACCGGACGTAATTTATAATTTCGTCGAGCATCAATGCTTTTCCAGTCACCTAGTAAAAAGATGTTTATTTATGTTAAAACTGGAAGTTCAACTAAAACCTCAATGTGATCATCAAGAAAGTTAAAGAATATGATAAACAAAGAAATTACTGAAGTATTTGGAGACAAACCTTGTTACAGCCTGGTACAAGATCTTGCAAAAGCTTCATTCTTTGACTGATCTTTTCTCTGCGGACCTAATCAAATGGCAAACAAGGCAATAATTAGATGAATTTACAGATGAAAATTTCGATTTCAAATCATTGAAACATCCAAGTATAATTTGCAAGTAAAAGTGTAATTCCTTTCTCACAAAATTTAAATCTTTAGATGAGGTCGTCATACATTAGGCCTCGGGTTCAAAATCCAACGAAAGCAACAAAAAAAAAAACACAAAAATGATTTCCTCTCAAAGAGTTTGTGCGTAGCAGTAGGTCATAAGTATCTCGTGAAATTAATCGATGTGTCCACATATTAGTCTAGACACTACTAGTAAAGAATCAAACTTGCGTGTAAAGACGTGTTGACAATATAATTAAGTAAATAAAAATTGTCGTATAATCATAATACAAACTAGGAAAAAAACGATGATGAACTTGTTAGACTTACTCTTTCAGCTAAACTATGGCTATCAGTAGCTTGACCCCTTCTTGCTCTAACATGAATGTAATCCTTTGGTGGCTCTGCAATCTTTCGATTTTCCTTTGTTTCTTTCTCAGCTCCATCATCTTCATTGCCCTTTTGTTCCTCCATTTTAACAGTTCCATTGTTGCTCCCATTACCTTGTGTTGATTTTGCTCTCTTTTTTCCAGTTTCATCTACAATTGGCACAAAATCCTTTGATTTCACTGCTTTTCTTTTCTTAGAATTCAATACATTTCTTGTTTTTGACCCCATTTCACCATTTGGGTCTTGCTCAGAAACAGAACACTCTTCATTACGACCTGAAATTTTGCCCAAATTCAATCTCTCACACATCATTAGGCTTGAGTTTTTGTTTTGCACAACACAAGGGCTACTCGATATTCTAGTTAAATTTCCTATCCCCATAACCCCAGTACCAGATCCATACCGCGAATCTTCATTATTCAGCTCAAACTGACTCGTTCTGCCATTAAAACTTCGGCTACCAAAACAAGAGAACTTAGCAGCTGAAAGAGAGGGAAATGGAGGAGAATTCATAACAACTGAATTCCCCAAATTGGGTACTTTATCTTTTCCAATTTGGTTCATTATGGGTATATGTAATTTCGGAGGAGAGCTCATGGGTGTAGTATAACACGAAGTTCTCGTCGAATCACAGTTACTAGTAAATGGGGTTGAAGGAGAAGTACAAATTGAACCCAATTTCCCAATCAATTCACAGAGTGATGAATTGGAATTTACAGAGTTGGAGGGTACTGGAGATGAAACTATCGAACTCAAAGCTGAATCAAAATGAGTGTATTGATTATCTGTAGAATTATTATCCCAATGGGTGTTTAGAAAGTAATCTGAATGAGGTGAATGTAGAGAGTTTAATGGAATTTTGGGGTCAAAATGGAATGGTGGTTGAATTCCACCATTAGAGAAGCAGTCATTATCCATGAAAGAAGAAATTAACACACAAAAAGCTTCAATAGAATGAGATTCAATTAAGGAGGAAGAAGAGAGAAGGAAAATGGAGAAATGGAAACAAATAGAGGGAAAGGAAAAGTTTTTGTCTCATATTTATAACTTATTTCTGTTGCTGACAAATAATCTAGATTTACGCTTCTATTTAGTATTATTATATCATAATCATTTTTTCTAATTTTTCATATCTAATTTATTTACAATAATAAAAATTGTTATGTAATCATGTCTCTAATTTAATTATCTTAATATTAGGGGTGTAGATTTAGTTTTTCGATTCAGTTTTATATTATTCGATTTGAATTTTTGATTTTTAATTTTGAAGAAGTGTAACTCAATTCAAACCAAAAGAAATTTCATTTTGTTTGTTTTTTTTTCTTTTGGTTTGAATTTTTTTGGTTTGGTTAATAGGTTATGTCAATAATTAGAAACATAAAAAAGTTATTTTTGCAATTATATATATATATATATATATAGATGTCCAAACATAAGAAAATAAATTAAATCATTTAGGATAATGCACAAGTACCCCTCAACCTATGTCCGAAATCTCAGAGACACATTTATATTATACTAAGGTCCTATTACTTCCCTAAACTTATTTTATTAATAATTTTCTATCCATTTTCGGCCTACGTGGCACTACCTTGTGAACCCAACGCATTGACTTTTTTTTTCCAAGCTAGTGCCACGTAGGCCGAAAAAGGTAGAAAATTACTTATAAACTAAGTTCAGGGGGTAATAGGACCTTACTATAGGGTGTCTCTGGAATTTCGGGCATAGGTTGAGGAAGTACTTGTACATTTTCTCTAACGAAAATAACTAAAAAGGAACAAAAATAGTTAACTCCAACTTAATTCTAAACACATACACAAATAATTCGGGTTTTTTGATTTTTTGGTTTTTATTTTTCTAAATCCGAAACCAAACCAAAAAATCAAACAAAGTAAATTATAAATTCAAAACCTAACCAAGAATAGAAAAAATTAATCCAAATTAGAATTCAATTTAATTTAATTTGATTTGATTTTTTAATTTACTCCAAATAGTGTACACATCCATCTAAACAAGTTACTTAGATAAATTTATTATTTTCTAAACAACTTGTTTTTGGCAGGTCAATCATTGCGCTAATACCAACTTCTCCGGTTAAATCGGATTATGTTGGGTTAGCATTAATTATAATATATAGTACTATATAATTATATTATAATAGTAGTAATCATAGTTACTCCATCTATCTATCTTTTTACTTTTTTGCTATATTAAAAATAGATATATTTTTATGATTGATTATATAAGTTTTTTTTTGCTATATTAAAAATAGATATATTTTTATGATTGACTATATAAGTTCTAGGATTTACTTGAATTTTTTTGATAAAAAATTATATTGTATGTATAAAATGATTTTTTTTATATTAAGTGATCTCTGGATTTAAACATAAAAAATCCAAACATGCTACATGGTCGCTGTAATGAAACTAGTTTTTATAGCCCTATAAACTATATACTGCTAATTTATTAAAATTATATTTTATTGATTTACTCACAGGTTTATATTTTAATTTCGAATGTTTTAAATGAAAGTTCTGAATCGATTACTATATATATTTTATTCATAATATAATTTACTTATCAATATTATATATTTTACTCTTGCTATTAAATAATTCACTTTCAAAATTAAATATAGTAATATTGTAGCAAGTCAAATTACGATGGATAGAGAAAGTACTTTATAATTACTATTTCTTCGAAATACAAATCAAGTATTATTCACACATCTTTATTAACTGGCATAATTACATAATAAATTCATAAAAAATAAATTTTATGCGACGGTGCGAGAAATGTCAAAACACTGAGGGGTGGTTTGAGGTCACTAGAGCCGTTAGCTAGACTCCTAGGGTTGATTTGGTCTTATCCGATTGTACTATAATTTTTAGAGTTTATTAAGAGAATGACTTTTTAGCCTGGCGTAAATAACTCTGTCGATTTGTGAGGCCTCGAGAAATATGAAAATGATCGACTCGTAAATTAAATAAAAATAAAATATCAAAAATAACAAGGTAAATTTAAAATTTTAAAACTTTTATGAATTCATCCTGTTGAAATGGGTCTCTAAATGTTACTTTGACCCTCCCAGACTAATTTTGCCTAAAATTTCCAATAGAATCTCTACTGAAAAAACATTTAATTAATTTCCTTGAAGTGTGGCTTACGTTGTGCAATATTTTAAGGGAAAGAGTCAATCCATCAAATTCTATTTCAACTTCAAACTAGTTAGTCGTGACGGGGACCGAAGAAATAAATTTTAATAGCTCAATTATTTGATTAATTGAATTTTCATCTAGTTAATGAAAACTTGATTTTGCACTTCGTAATTTTTTTTCTCGTTTGTTTTTTAATTTTTTTAAAAGTTTGTTGTGGTTAAAACAAAAAAAAAGTTTGAATTATTTTTTTAAAACATATAGTTCTTTTTTTTTTTATAAAATTATCAATATTTTTATTATATTATGACTAAATCATTCGACATGATATCTTATGACAAGATCTCCTATTTTGTTCATTGAGACAATATGTCTGAATCATGAGTATTCTTCACTTTCTAAGTTTTTTTAAAATATAAAAACATCCCTTCCGATCGAATTTATGAAATATTAATAAAAGAAAACAAATAACAAACACATACACGTTTTGTGAAGTTGAAATAATCTCCTATATCAACTTATAATTATTCATTAACAATATATTGTGAAAATGTCGTATAAACAAAAATAAAAGATATAAGCAATTATGAAAGCAAATCTCCCAAGCTAGTAAATATGACAAAATGTACGAATAACTAATCACAATTTGAATAGAAGAAAAATATTTATAAAATTTTCGTATGATCTCCATTCTCATTTTTATGTAATTAAATTTGGATTTAAAGAATGAGATGACGTATATTGAAATCGTAAAAAAATAAATAATCTTTGAATAGGATGTCACATAATATTAAAGAAACCTCGAATTAATACATTTTTGTCACATACATATTTGTATATTGTCCAAAAAAAAAAATTATTTGTAACACCCCTTTTTTATTTTTGGCAGTAGTGGGAATATGGGTTGGAAATTGACAATTGAGACTGTTATGTCTCAAATATTGCAGCCGCAATGCCAGCCATAGTTGCCAATATATATTCAATCATGCAACTAATATACATTTTTCAATATATATGTTTTCCTATATCAACCACAAATAACACCACGTTTTCCAATGAGAATGATGCATTGATGGTATTGTTTCGAAATCAATAAAAATTATGATGAAATGATCGTGAAATTTTATCCATACTTTTTAGATAGGAAAGTAGTAGTGTAGTCTTTTTGATTTCGGGTTCAATCATAGATAACTTTGTTTCTAATTCAATATTTATATTTAGAATTCAATAACTATGAAAGATTAAGAATCTCATTTCTATAGGCCTCAAATTCTGGAATTTGCTTCTAGTCTCACGTTTGAGTTATTGATATAAAATTACATTTGTTAGAAAGCGCTTTGCTTTCGGATCTCTTTCAAGGCGTCTAAAATCTCTGAGCTACAATACCTTGTTCTACCAAAATATGTTATTTAATCACTTTGTGTATCATTTTACTAATATATACGATATCATTTTTCGATAAAGGGTGTCTAATTAATTACCCTAACTATAACATAGCTACGCCCCGATCACAGATTCACAACTCCTAATCATTTCCAATCATACTATACCTAACTAGAATTTAGCAAAATCAGTGGGGGAGAATATAAAAAATTGAAAGGTAAAAGATTTGCAAATATATGAATGTGGTAAGATATCCTAGTAAACTCGCGATCCGTAACTTTTATTTAAACATATTATTATCCATACACATTGATTTGAAATCGTTACTTAAACCTAATTTCATAGTATATCACAAGTATCCATTGGTGGATAACGATAACATATTATAACTAACTAAACTATCAAGGTAAAAATATATTTATTGAATTAGAATGTTCTGTAGAAGTTGGGAACATAATAAATACTCAGAAAAATTAAAAACGTGAATAAATGAAATTTCTATTTTTGGTTTTTTCTTTTTCTGGTCAATGTTCAAACACGGTGTGACACCGACTTAATTATTAATACTGATAATTAAGTGGTCATTGAAACTTCCATGGCTATGCAGTAGGGGATCTAACACTATATAAAGTGTTGCTAGTCTCTTTGATGCTCTAAGCTATTATTGACAAAATAAAATAAAATTTTTCTTATATCACTCTTAATGGACTAATTATTTTCTCCAGATTACATCACTTGATATAGAACATATTTAGTGAAATTCACCAAGTGAGATCCGAAGAAAATAGAATATTAACACGATATACTATTACTTCACGAAGATAAAGAAGTTATTTTCGAGTCTTTATTATAAATAGATAATTTAAAATATACAATTGTTACTTTAAAAGATTAAGACATAATTAAACAACATTCTTCCCATTTAGCTATGGTTCTTGGAAGTAATACTCCAATATTGTGATTGGTTAGATTGTCTTTTTTTTTTTTGTCTAGGGAGATTAAAAAGAGATTATATTTTGTATGAGTAAATAAAGATAATAAATAAGGTATGATAGTGAAACACATCGCTTGTTAAAAAATTACGACAAGTAAAATAATTCAAAAAGAGACTCTCAAAATTGTGCAACCAACTAACAATTCTTTGATTTTTTGGAAGATAAAATATGTATAAAATAATTTAGTACAAAGAGACTCCCACAATTGTACTACCAACTAACAATTCTTTGATTTTTGGAAGATTATATATATATATATATATATATATATATAAATAATAAATTATTACTTGATTTTTGAAATCAAATGAATAAAACAGGACATCTATTTTATATGATGACAAATAAGAGGGGGAGGGAGTATTTATCAGGCATTTTTTTTTCCAGTATTCATTAGGCATTTGGTTTTAGCAAAATATTTGACTATATCTATTTTGGCATACATACATTTATATCATTGGATATTTCTAGTCTCAACTACTATTTGGT